TCCTTCCCTTCTGTTTGTAAGGCAAGGGGTTGTTTTAGCATTGCAGTGTTGCAGTTAACCTTCCAGTGACTTGTTTTCAAGGCATTCCACTGCCCGTATCCATATGTCTGGAGGACATGATACCTTGAAATGTGTACTTGTAAAGGAGCTGATCTTGGCTAGAATCATCTTGTGTGCAGGGATTTTCAAAGAGCTTGCGTGCTTTGATTGTACTGACTGGAAAGCGCAACCCTCCTGTAATGATTAACAGCAAACAGTCAGGTTTAAGGGTGGGTCATTTGCTGTTGGTTCCTGTGCTCGCCAACACGATACACAGGATCTTGTGACTGTGTTAACTCCAAACATAAGAATGTTTGTTTGCATTTACATCACATCTCAAAATGTATTGATGTGTAGAGTAGTCAGTTAACCTCTAAACAGTGAAGAATGACAATAATTAGGTCATCATTCAGACATGTAACTAATCTTAACCCTTATGACCCTGTTTGCTTTCATGACCGCTAAAATTATGGAAGTTTTTTGGAGTAGGTGGGGGGGAAAGATGGGGAATTGCTGGATTCTGAGGGGTAGGGAGAAGCAAGTTCCTTCTTTTGTCTCCTACACGAGTTCAACTTACTGGATCTTCTTGTCTGATGTGACCAGCTCTGCTGCTGGTTCCTGCCCCGTCCTGTGATGAGAATGAAGGACAGACTGGGTGGGGGAGGAAGGGAGACTAAAAGCAGCCTGGGACAGGAGGAGGAGCACTCGGTTGTGTGAGATACATGTGGGAGTGTCTGAGGCTCTTGGCTTAATATGCAATGGGAAGCTTGATCCGTGCTCAGCAGTCCCTTGTGGTGTTGGGAGCGGAGGAGGGAGGTTCATGTGGCTTTACTTCAGAAATAAAAGAAGTTGCGGCGCATAAAATTTCCAGGGAGGCGAGCTGTGTTTGGTTTAGTCCCTTGCAGCCTGGGCTGGCCAAGTTGGCAAGCCCCGCCAAGCTTTCACAGCAAGGCCCAGCAAGGATTTTCCTCCTCCCTCGCTTGGGACCCCAGGCGCAGCAATGAGCTCCAAGGAGAGTTGGCAGCTGAGAGCAGATCACTGCAACACAGGGGCTTGTTGCAAAGACAAGTAAATGGTGGGACCATGGAGAGGAAGAGAGGTGGAAGGCATCTCTCCTGTGGACTTTTTCCCTATCTTAGGGGAGGAACAAGAGCCTGAAAAATCCTGGCCTTGACTTTGCAGCAGCCAGAGAGTGACTCTTCTTGAGCCCGAGCTTTGGTACAGTGAAGCCCAAACCTGCAGACTAAACACAGTACCTCCTGTTTACATCTCATGGGCTGGAGTGGAACGTGTCCAAGGTGGGACAGGCCGGAGAGCTGCTGCACAGTCTATCGGCCCCCGCTGCCCGGGCTGAGCAATGAGCTGAGAGTCGCTGGGCTCCAGGGGAGGGTTAGCAGATGACAGGAGTTTGGCAGGTCCCAGCATCATTCCTACCAGACAGGTGTCCGTATCACCACCACAGCTGGTACTCGGCGGGAGCTGTTTTAGCAGTCTCAGCAGAAAAGGCAAGGAGTCATTAGACCACGGAGATCGTAGGCCCCATTTCTATCAACAGTCTTCCCAGGTCGCGACGCATGTTAGTAGGGGAAGCCTGTCCTGCTGCTGCCCATGCTCTGGGGATGATTAGATTATTTCATTCTCCAGAGCTGTCAAATTGGCACCTTTCCCAAAGTACTTGGATTTTTTTTTTATTTTTTTTTTTTTCATTTAAGTAACATTTCATTAGTTCTAAGAAGCTAAATTCTATTAAAGGTCTAAGCATGTCAGGCTGGTTTATTTCTGAACTTCTTCCACTGTGTCATGTATTGTTGAATAGGGAAATTGCTTTGACTCAGAAATGTACAAACATATTCAAGAAGTCCTCCTTGTTAACACTAGGCTCCTGTTTATACGCTAGTTACTGTGGCAAAGTCTCTGATGTGTAACACTTGCATTAACATTACACATGATCAAAGGCTTCCGCGGTTCTTTCTTCCACTCCCCCTTCCCCCAGTGCTGTGACAGCAGAGCCCCCACGATGCCTCCTAAGAACCTCTCCTTGCCTTTCCAAGGGGTAGATGTTCCAGATGCACAAAGAGGAAGGCTGTGCAGGAGGTATCTGGCCCCACGCTGGAGGGTTAAGGATGCTGATCGTGCCGACAGGCTCTGACATTAACTGCCCCACAGCGACATTCATATTTGTGGTGAAGTGTCCAAGGTTCTTGGTCCAACATCTGAGCTGTGCCAAGCGTGCAATTCATCAAAGATCAACCTTGTTTGTCTCTAAACCTACCCAAAGCAAGGTGAGGTTGTGTGTGTTCTCCCTCCCTCCCTTACTTATGTTCCGGGAGATGATAGAGACACTCTGTTGAAATGTGTTACTGATCAAGCCTGTCCCAATAAAGTTGCCTGAGCCTTTAATACATATTAATATTATCCTGGGGTAGTTTGTGTCAAAGCCTGTCAGCATGCATCATCCTTTGGGAATTACCATCATTAAGTCTCCAGTGATGGGAGTCAGGACATGCTTCTGCAAAGCTCCTCTGCTTTTATGTGGAGCTCTCTGCCCATCTAGCACAAAGCAGACTGTTCTCCCCTCCTACCTTGCTCACCTGGACTGCTTACTCTCCCCAGAGGGGAGAATAAGGTTTGTTTAACACTACCTTTAGATAATTTCTGCTCCTGCTGCTTTAGGCAGTCATTGTTCTAGGAAAGAAGATGACACTCAGGTCTTTGATCATGTGCAACGTACATGTTACGCATCAGATATTGCTGCAGCCTCTGACATGTGAGCCAATACAACGCAGTAAAAACAAACCTATAGTTAAAGAGTCCTCGTTAACTGCAAAATCTAGCACACAAAATTTAAGATATATCTCTACACTTTAGTGTTGCCCCTGTTACACATGCGTATTTCAATATTATATTTAATTGAAGGATCATGTATATTTTTTACAAAGCATGCCTGCCTTATTGAGTGCACAAAGATGCGGCGTGTTTGGGGGATGAATCAGGAGTGTGGAGTAAAGTAGACTCTTGCCTATAGGACTTCCACTTCGTTTGTTTGTCAAAATTAGGTGTGCAGTGAATGAGGCAGGTAATTGCAGAAAAATCACAATAGTCTCATGGTGAAGCCTCTTAAATGTTGCCCTGGAGAATTGGATCCTGTCCCTGCCTCTAGTAGTCTGTTTTTTCTCAATGCCATTTTAGAGTCTTGAGCTAAAATGTTCTCAGTTGGAAAGTGAATTTGTGTTCCGTTTTCTGGATGGCTGGCTTGAGACCTGAGGACTGATCTGTGTTCCTAGCGGCAGGAGGAGGCTGGGAGGAATTCCTCTACGGGTACCCCTGTACCCTGCAGGGCTGAGAGGGCTGGAAAACAGAGACCTGCAAGTCTTCAGATGGGCACCCGCAAGAAGTGGACATTCAGACTCAGTTTTCTCTTCACTAATTTCCCCCCGTCTGTTCAGGAAAACCTTCTTCCAGTCATCCTGTGAAGATTAATTCAGTGCTTGCCAAGCATTCCAGCTCCACAGATGAACACCAGAAACAATTTCAGGAAGAGATTAAAATTCATTCTTGCAGGTCAGGAGAGAGAAAGGCTCTCTCTGGGGTAGGGGGTCAGACTGGGAGTCGAAGACCCATGTTCTGCTCCCTGCTCTTGCAGCTTTTCTCCATGACTTTGTTAGGTCTCTTAGCTTCTTTTAGCCGCCCTCCCCCATCTGCTGCACGGAGAGGAGCGCTTCCCTGCCTCACAGAAATGTGAGGCTGAGCACGTCAGAGGCTGTGAGAGTGGTAAGGACAGTAAGATTAGGTACTTCCAGTGTAATCCATGCTGGCAGTAGTCAGATGGAGCGTACTAAATAAAGGGGAAGAGAGTAGGAGGGAACGGGGAAACAACGTGAATGATAATGAAAAGAAATGATGAGTAATGCTGCATTCAGTGAGCAGAACCATCCTGAGGACTGAGCAGGGCAGAGGTCTTGTGGAGAGAAACAGCAGGCGATCCTGTGATTACAGATTTGGTTTGGCAGACGTACGCTGGGGCCAAATTAGCATGGGGCAGGCAATCCCAGTGCAGC